ATAAACAATCTGTCCTTTTGTTGTAGAGCTAATAATACTATTGATTAGCTCTCTTCGTACTTTTCCATTGTATCCATTGTACTATATGTTTCGATGAAATGTACTTACCTTTTGAACACATGGTACTTTATTTTGCGATTAATTAGTTTGTATAAAGAATATAAGCGTACCATAAAAATGAGCAACAAATACTTTCTAGTCTATTCGAAGATACCTTGTCAACACTAGACTTGTACTTACTTGATGAAGAAAGCGTACTTCACATGTGTATTCACGAAAAACTTGCCATAAACTGAAGAATTGTGTCTATTCATTCTTAATAGTCTTAAAATGAAGAGTTATGTCTTAAAATGCGATCATATGGATGCATTGGCCCCACAATAATATATAGATTGTAACAATACTATATGAATGGCAAACATATACTTTATCAATGAACAAAGCGTACTATAGTCACGAATCACTTGTACTTCACATGTGTATTCATTGTACTTACTTGATGAACAAAGCGTACCATATTTTTTGATGAATTGAATTGTACCAATTTCATTGACGCTTTAATGATCAATAAGTATGGGAGATGCATAAATTATGTTTTAGATGATTATTTTAAGGTAGGTGAGCATTATTGTTGCTTTTGGAATACAAGATCCCATAAATATGTTGAATTTCATACATGATACTCATATACTATACAATATATTCATACAAGTCTACAATGCTCAAGTGTAAAACTAATATTTTCCTCAATTCTTACCATAATCGATATTGATCGACTCCCACATTGTCTCCATTCATTCTTAATAGTCTTAAAATGAAGAGGTGTGTCTTAAAATACGATCATATGGATGCATTGGCCCCACAATAATATATAGAGTGTAACAATACTATATGAATGACAAACATATACTTTATCAGTGAACACAGCGTACTATAGTCACGAATCACTTGTACTTCACATGTGTATTCATTGTACTTACTTGATGAACAAAGCGTACCATTTTTTTTGATGAATTGAATTGTACCAATTTCATTGACGCTTTAATGATCAATAAGTACGGGAGATGCATAAATTATGTTTTAGATGGTTATTTTAAGGTAGGTGAGAATTATGGTTGCGTTTGGAATACAAGATCCCATAAATATGTTGAATTTCATACATGATACTCATATACTATACAATATATTCATACAAGTCTACAATGCTCAAGTGTAAAACTAATATTTTCCTCAATTGTTACCATAATCGATATTGATCAACTCCCACATTGTCTCCATTCATTCTTAATAGTCTTAAAATGAAGAGTTGTGTCTTAAAATGCGATCATATGGATGCATTGGCCCGACAATAATATATAGACTGTAACAATACTATATGAATGGCAAACATATACTTTATCAGTGAACAAATCGTACTATAGTCACGAATCACTTGTACTTCACATGTGTATTCATTGTACTTACTTGATGAACAAAGCGTACCATATTCACGAATAACCCAAACTTTACCAGCTTATTACTTATTTGGTGAACAAAGCGTACTATATTCACGAATAACACGAACTTTACCAGCTTATACATTGTACTTATTTGGTGAACAAAGTGTACTATATTCACGAATAACCCGAACTTTACCATCTTATACATTGTACTCTTATGTTCACTAATTAAACAACAGTACATAGGTTTTACATAGCATGTAGACTGCAAATATTACTAGATTCAACACCATCAAACTATGAACTACTCCACCTTCAGAATTGCAATTCTTCACTTCACTTTCTTGATGGACTTGGTTCATCGACGCACGGTTTGAGTTGGAAAAAGTTTGCCCAACTTCAAATGGTTCACACCAATGGGAGTAGCCATGGTGTGGGCAACAGTAAAATAACCTTCCGGGATTCAAAATAGTTTCTGAAACCATGATTATTGTTTTCTTCCCCCAATCAAGACGCTTGCATTTCCCTTTTTTGTATTTTAACTCACTCATTTGAGTGGTGCTACTCTTCGCTACTCGAAGAGTAGCATCACCACAAGTGTGCTCAAGATTGCATTTACGAATGCTAAATAAACCCTCCATTTGCAGTTTTCGTCAATGCATAATCCTATGATCTTTTGTTGATCATTTTTCATGTACTTAAATGATCGATTATTAGCAATATAATAGTTTTTCAGCATATGCCTAAAATCATCATGATCTTTAAAAAACTTATTATCCCCACGGATGCAATGTCTCCATGCATCAATTGAATTTCTAAGAGGATTACCCTCGATTTCCATCGATTGATCGCCGCTTTTGGTTTAAAAAAATTTAAAAAATGGATTACAATTGAGTGGAATCCAAATAACAATGTACATGAAAATATCATAACAATGCACTAGTTCCATACTATCTTCTCCATTATATAATATTAAGTTTTCCCACAAATAGTACCAAGTTTAACTATCACCCATACTATCCGAATAATGGTTACGTACGGTCTTCCCCATTATATGATACTATGTTTTCCCACCAACAGTACCAAATTTACCTATCACCCATACTATTCAGATGAAGGTTACGTACTATCTTCCCCATTATATGATACTATGTTTTCCCACCAACAGTACCAAATTTACCTATCACGCATACTATACGAATAACGATTACGTACTGTAAGTACCATACGTCCATACCATATTTATATTAGCATGATACTATTACGTGCCATATTTTATACTATGTATCACAATAATTAACAACCATAAAGAAATGCATTTCAGCAGTACAGAAAAATATGGAGACCTACCAGCCATCGGTGCGAACCCTCTTTCGTCGGAAAAAAAAGGAAACCAGAGGAGAGAAAGAGAGAAGAAATAGAGAAGAAAAAGAGCAGATAGAAATGAAGAAAGAGAAGAAAGAAAGAGAAGATGAAGAGAGAGAAAATGAAGAGAGAGAAAATGAGGAGAGAGAAAAGGGTGAGAGTGAAAAAGAAGAGAGAGAATATAATAAAATATATTAAATTTACATTAGGGACTGATCTGCATGTCAGACGCGTGAATAGGGACTGATTTGCTTGGGGAAACTACCTAGGGACTGATCTGTGTTTTGAGTTTGAGATTAGGGATTTATCTGTAGTTTCCCCTAATTGTGGTTACTACCATGACATTAACGATATGGTGTATGAGGTAACATGAATATCGATTTTTTTTAAAATTGTATTTGTGTCTATATATAAATCAAAAGTATAGTTTCTGTTGTTTTCTAAAACATAAAACAAATTTATGTATATAAAATATTTGCCTAAATAGTTATATAAGCATGTACATTGTGAATTGTAAAATATTTGCGTCCATCTCTCATGGTATCTAAACATCCTAACAACTACTAGGATATAATTTCATATGCTTTATAATCACTCATATTTGAGAAATTTCATTTCAATTGGAATATATACATTAGTTTTTTCAAGTTACAACTTACAATATCAATTTTTGCTTAGAAAACAACTAAAGCAATTGACTAATAATACCGAAAAATACCGCCAATGCCGAATAATACTGCCAATGCCGGCCTTGCCTGGGTTAGTTAGTGTTGATCCATCAACATTAAGTTTGAACCATTTGTCCGGCTGCGACTGCCATTTAAGATTAAGCATGATAGGATTCTTGGTTTTTATCTTTGTTGTTTTAATATATTGATTAGTACTTTTCCATATGATATCGAAGCTAATTGGTTTTTGGCTAAAGATTGCATCGTTTCGGGCTTTCCAGATTAACCAAAAGAGAACGGCTAACTTACTACAAAAATCGGGTTGTTTAGAAAATTTTGAAAAAAATAAGACAAAAATTAGTGTTCTCTTCTCCTTGCGAAATGGGGAGTTTTTTCACAATCGGTTAAAATATAGGGCATTTTAGAAAAAGATGGTTTGTTGTTTCCGAATTAAGTTTACAAAGGGGGACAGTTATTATTTGTAACAATTTTTGGTTTACACAATAAAAAAGAAGTGGGAAGGCCATCATTGATCAATTGCCACAATAGGAAATGAATTATGGGAATAACTTTTAGATTCCATATACATTGTCAAGGAAGGGCATGCTTTGTTGATGGAGTTTCAAAATTTAATAGCCATAGATACGCACTTCTAAGAGAGGATTGGCCTTTTTAGAAAGTGGCCATTGGAAGAAATCTTTTATAGGTTGGGCTGGTATGTATGTAGCCAAGATATTTCCGATAATAAAATCTGGAATAAACGGTTGGATGACCGTAAGGTCCCAGTTTTTAGAGTTGTGGTTAATGTCGCTAACTTAGAGGTATGTTAGGTGTATGGGAATTGTGCTAACATATTCGGCTATAGTGATGTTTCCAAGCCATTGTCAAACCAAAACCTAATGCTCTTACTATGGCCAAGAATCCAAAACCGGCAATCGGCAAGAGCTTCTTTGGTCTTATAGATATTTTTCCAAACTGAGCAATGGTTTGATTTGGGTTCTAGAGCATTCATAAAAATCGGATTTAGGAAAATATTTGCTTTTTATGAATTGAATGAAGACGAATCAGTCAGTAATCTCCATCCATGTTCGAAGATAAAAGCCATATTAAGAGCATATAAATTTTCAAAACCAAGTCCTTCATCAGATTTAGGCATGGGCATGGTTACTAAGTTTTACTATAATTAGGTCCCTGATTAACTAAATAGTTGGACTTCATTTGATGTTTGGTATCCTCAATAAATTGTCAGGTCGATCCGCCAAAATTATTTAATCATCGCTTTTCTTGTCTTCTAATAAGTTTTTTTTTTTTGTTGGACGTTTCAAGCTCCAATAAAATAATTGAGTCTCATTAGATTATTTAATCTTATCTTGATTAATCTTATACTGGCAACCAAACTGAGCTTTCGAGTAAACCTAAAACTAATTTATAATCAACTCATATATTGAACATAACTCTGTCTACAACAAAAAATAATTAACAATGTATGCGAATTTTTCCTGGTAGATGAGTGCAAGGCACAAAGAAGAAATCGAAAATGCAAATGCTATGAAACCACCAATCAGAAGCAAGCAACAAATTAGTCAAATCCCCATTTACAGAAACAGATGAAATATTTCAAAGTCTTGAAACCCCCAAAACAAACAGAGTTGTTCATAATATTCAAATAATTTATCCCCTTACAAATAAGTTTTATACAGAGCATCCATCATCAGAAGGAACTGACTATTCTTCCTTGTGTAACTCTGCTGCAACTTCAGGCAAATCAAGGGTCGCACGAGCAACGAGCCTCTCCACAGGTACTTTCGTCACATCTCTCCGAACTCCAATATCCGAGACAATTCGACTAATACAATAAATTCCACAACCGACAGCTGTCAGACCAGGAAACCCCAATGTCATAAACCTAAGCGGTGAGGACACAATGGCGCTAGCGGCAGCCAATACAGACGCCGCTTGGCCGCTCCGCCCTACGCTCACAGTCGTGAAGATCAGCACACCCGTTTTGCAGTAAATGGCAAAGTCCTCACAGTTGTTCTTGAAAATGTTGTAGCCGCCGAAACCGTTCTGGATGAGATACTCCGCACGGTGGACGACGTCATCGGGCGGGTCGGAGCGGGCGAGCGTGCACGTGCCGCCACGAGCTTTGGCCAGAAAAACGGCCGGCGAGACACCGTACTGAAACAGATAGAGCTCTCCTTCGGAAAGGAAGCACTCGAGGCAAGAGGAAATGACGCCTGCGTCCTTCGACTGGTCGCCGCATCTCGGGCATGGGGAGTCGGAGGGATTAGTCGGGGAAGAGCTGAAAAGGAAACGGTCCAACACTGTTCCCGTACCGATCTCCTGCCCTGCCCCACGAGTGAAGTGGATCACCTTTCCGTTTCCCATGTATATTCCTGATTTTTAGTGGACAACAAATAAGGTAAACGAACAATACAAGTTATTTAATCTATAATTTTGTTTTTTGTTGGTTCACTGTCAATTTTACAGGAAGTCGTAAAGGGAAAAAAAAATGCAACCAGTTTGAAATTTGCTTATACACTTCAAGAATGTGAATGCTTAGACAATCACTCTCTTTGCAACTGTCTAATTATTTTGTTGAGTAACGAGTTGCAAAACAGTTGACCAAACACAGTACATATATTGACTACTGATTAAGAGAATCCAAAATAGGAATACGAGAGCCACAATCTTCCTCGTTTGTAGCTAAAAATACACAAAGAACTGATGTTGTGTAGCTATGAAACGATGTAGAACCAATTTCATGAATGATATCGTTGGTATATAAACGAATGAGGAAGACTATTTAGAAGAAAATAATATTAAAAAAAAAAAAAAAGGAAATACGGGTATAGAATAGAAGCTGATGTTTTTCAGCAATAAAAGGAAAAGACGGGTTGAGGTTGTCATTCAACACTATCATTTTCCAAATATTATCCCGTCTCATTCTCATGCAAAGTTCAAACAGAACAAATTATTCAAATAGAGATCAAAAGAATAATCGTAAAAACTGTACCCAGTGATCAGATTTTTGCTCTAAATTGATCGTTGTATCAGATCAAAGTTAACTTAACATTCTTTTACCACATTATAGATCAATCAGCCACCAGCTACTGAGCATTTTATGTTAGTCAATCGCTAGTCAATTTATTGTGTTCATACCAATTTGATAATAGTATACAACTGCTACAAAAAGTTCGTCTCCAAGCACCAGCTGTTGTTTCTAGACATACGTCTAAGACATCTAAAACTCCTACTCATCGAAGATATATTGCGTTTGAACAGTTAACAAATAAATCAGAGCAAGAATAACTTTGGTTCAAAACGCCTCAAGTCAAAACTCATGGCCAATCAGCATTGTCAAGCACTAGACAAGTTAGCCTAAAACTACAAACCACGGAATTCAAAACCATTTACATAATCTTCCCCTAACCATAACGGGGCGGAATTGAGCGATCTACTTTAATTCCTGACTATTCGAAAATCTAAATTTGACAAACTACAAACTTCTAAGTTCTTTTCACATTTCTTTAACAACCAATACAATACGCAAGCAGAAGTGATTAGGAAAGAAACAAACCAAGTCTTTCAGTTGAGAGTTTTATTTAGCTTGTGTGGGAAATTGCATCGACGCTGATGCTCCAAATATTTTCAAAACTCCATATATGCGGCATATTTTGGAAATTCATTAACTAAATCAAGGCTAGAATAAAGATATACCAGAAATATTTTATTCACATTATCTTCACTAAGCACCATTAATATGCAATTTTCACTTTAAACCCCAAGACTACAGAGCATATTTTGATTTTGCAAATCGTTGAAACCAACTATTTGATCATGGAAACTTAGAACATTTAAAAAACATCACGAAATGCCAGAAAATAAAAAAGTTATATCCAATCTAAAGATAATATGAACAAATCAGGTAGAACTATATTTATTATTCTATAACCGAGGTTCAGTTGTATTCAGGATGCTCTGCTTAATGCTAGAATAAGCTAAAATACATTATTTTCCAGTAAAATAAGCCACAATAGATTGTATTGTTTCTCATTGTTAAATGAAAAGACTCCTCCTAGTAAACGAAAAAGTCGTTTCAGTATAAAACATCAAATTCAATGGCAAATTATTGAGAGGGTTGCATATGAAGTAGTCATCTCCATTCCGGTGAGCAATATTTTCTTTATTATTTTCTAGAGAATATATCTTCAATTCTCATAGGTCTCTTACTCATCAATCAATCCACAACCCAACAAGTACTGAAACCCAATATTGAAAAAATAAAACCTAAAAATTCACATAAATTATTCGATTTACATTATTACATAGTATTATTGTCTTGCTAATTAATTAAATACACAAAAAGCTGTTAAAAAAATTGATCTTTGCTTTCCTACTGTCCTTGTGTAAAATTTGAACTTAGCATTTACCTAAAATTCCCATGAGCCAAATTGATCAAATAAGTTGTATTTGATGAACCAATGAAGCACGATCAAGTTCCACAAAGAATTAAACTAATTGAAAAGTAGTTAGGGAAACCTAAAAACTGAGGCAAAATTGGAATTGAAAATTGGAATTGAAAATTGAAATTGAAAATTGAAATTGAAATTGGAATAGAGAAGGGGAGAAGGGACGGACCATGGTGAGCGTAGAGATAAGAGTGCCTCCAAGAATAGATATGATCGCCGGGCTTCAGCTCGTCTCTTGGAATTTTGTTGGATAGCACTCCCATCACTGTTCGTTTTCTTCTCTTTTTCCTCCGAATTTCTTTCCTTCGCACAAGGAAGAAAGTGACGCTTTGTTTGTCAATTCATATACTCTCCGCTTACGTTTTTGGATATTCGAATCCATTATTAGCCTAGTAACGCGTTTTCTTTTTCATATTTATTAACATGTAGGTGGGCCAATTTAAGAATGAGGAAATTTGAGATTAGCTCCTCAAAACTAACTTTCATTTGAGGTTAGTCCAAATGTTTTTTTTTTTTTTTTCCATTTGACATTACCCCTAAAAATACATCTCTTCAATTAATACCAAATATTTTAGAGGGGCATTAGTTATAACCAATGTTTTCAGAACCAGACCGGCTATAGAACCAGACAATCATTTGGGTCATGGGTTTATAGGGTCGAACTGGTTCAAGGGTTTTTGATTTTTTTAATATGCCATTATTTTATTAATTTTAATGTTTTAAAAATATTATTTTCTTTATATTTTTAATCTCCCAATTATTATTTTCACTTTTATCTACTTTACTTCACTTTTTACTATATTTTATTGCTTATACTCTATATTTTTTCATTTTTTATTCTTCAAATCGGCAATCGGCTAACCATATTCGGTCACCCATGATCATATCAGACAATCATTCGACCACTCATGAGTAGATCCGGCCACCCACTACTAAGTATGTGAAGGTTCGCTCAAATCTAGCCACAAATAACCAACTCAACGATGATTCAAGACGTTTTGGCCGAAAACCGGGCTCCTTGACTGACTCGTTGGTTCTCGGGTTTTATCCGGTCGAACCGGATTTTGGTCATTTGACCCCGGTTTTCGATTTTTCCGGTTTTAGATGTTAGACCGGACCGCTTTATTGCCGGGTCACGGTCGAACCGGTCCGACCGGCCGGTTCGGTCCGGTTCGAACAACATTGGTTATAACTCCAAGCCGAATCTCTTATGGGGCTATATGCCGAACACCCTCCATTGAAAATTTACTTCTTGATAAATCTTTTATTTGTAAATGATATTTCATATAAATCCAATGTGTCTGAAAAACTAGTGGTCTTAAGATATAAGTCCCTGTTGACAAACCTTATTAAAACTAAATGACAAGTCTAACTAAAATTTGCTTCACATCATTTATTAAATTCATTCAAAAAATGTCCATCCACTCACAAATTCGAACTTACACCAAATTGTGAATATACTATGATGAACTATAGTATTATTTAACATTTTTAAGTTTGCATCTAGCATTTTTTTTTAACGTGGAACACGCTTTTTTTTCCGTATTTTTCCATTATATAAAAATCTATTTTTTCCCCTTTTTTTCTACATAAATTGAAAATTGTGATTTTTTTTTTTTCGATCGTAGACATCTACAGAAACCCATAGGAAACCGTAGTAATCCGTAGTCACCGATAGACATCTTGAAACCCTAAGACATCTTGAAACCGTAACTCCTCCTACAAACCCTAGCCGCCAGACCCATAGACACCCATAGACACTCACAGACATCATCTGTAGACATCCAAATCGAATTTTTTAAAATTTTCCCCACCAAACCCTAGATCCGCTCCTCCACCACCACCATCACCGAGCGTTGCCGCGCCTTAATTCCACCATAGATCTGACCTTACACCATCATAGACATCTACAGAAACCCATAGGAAACCGTAGTAATCCGTAGTCACACCATCATCCATGCCCAACACCGTCGCCGCCCCTTAATTCCACCATAGATCTGACCTTACACCACCATAGCCGGCGTCCCCTTGCCTCTACAACCATCCGCTTATTGCCGTAGTCTCCACCGCCATAACCACCGCCCATTTCAATAGTGGATTGGAGTGGTGGAGAACGAAAGAGACAGAGAGAGATAGCGAAATCGAAAAATAGAGAGATAAAGAGTGAGAGAGAGAGATAGATAAAGAAAGATTGCGAGAGACAGAAAGAGAAAGCGAGATTGCGATAGAGAAGAAAAAAGAAAAATAAATCTGAGAAAAACGTGACTTTAGAATTTATGGATTTAGGTTGAGGGTAAATTAGGGATAAAAGAAAAATTGAGGATGTGACTCATATTTATTTTTCTAAAAATGATTTAGTTCATAAAAAAATATTAAGGTTGTATTCCACATCTAATTATGTTTCCAACTAGGTACTTCTAGCATATTACCCCGAAAAACTATATTGCTCCCAATAATTATTAATTACTATAATTATTCAAATTAAAAACAAAAAAATATACACATAATCTACACCCAAATCTTCTCTAAAAATTATACCCCAAATCACGCTTCAGATTTATGCCCAAAATAATGCTCCCAAATCAATTTTAAAAATCTCATTTTTATTTCTTTTCTTATTTTCGATTTCTTCATAAGAAAATATTGATTTTGTTTTAAAAAAGTTTATTTTTCATTTTTTTAATTTTGGTTTTTTATTTTCTGTACTTTTGTTCTTCAAATTTAAATTAAAAAATAAATAAATTGTTTTTAAACAAATTGAAATTCACTATAAACTTACCAAAAACCTCTATGTGATTGTAGTATTCCCTTACGAATAGCCATTATAAACGTATCGACAATCTATATGTAATCAACAAAAACCACTAATTAATAAAAATCACTCTGTAAATTAACGAAAATCACTATGTAATTAGCAAATTCCATAACAAAAAATCACTAAAAACGTATCAAACTAACAAAAAACACTCTATAATTAATGAAAATCACTCTGTAATTAATGAAAATCACTATGTCATTAACAAATTTCATTACAAAAATTCACTAAAAACTTATCATTAACGAAAACGATTATGGAATTAATGAAAACCACTATGCGTGCAAAAACCACTCTTACATTGAGGTGGATCATGTACATATAAAGCAGTCCTCCCTATACTTGTCGAAACATGAACCAGGGTTGGACAAGTATGTATTCTCAAACTCAATTCTTACCCGATAGAAGAGTTCATCTCTCATACAGATGAGATGAGATACACAAATAAACATCAACAATTGATAGGGGAGAGGAATAGACGTCAGATCGGATTTCGGACGAAGATGTGGATCTCGGTTGTCCCCGGTCTATCGCGAATTTGAAAAGATATCTTCATCCATGGAAGCAAGAAGCACATGGAGAAGCCGCCTATTTGAAGCCCTAGATCCAGCAAAAGCATAGAACTCCTAAATTCGATAACCCACGAAGTCTTTCTATGAAAATGGCGAATGAAAAGAAAAGAGAAGAGCAGCGGCGGCGTGGAGAAAAAAAGAGAAAATAAAATAAACGATAGATTGAGAGAATAGGGTTTTGGAGTTTGGGTAAATAATTGAACTTTTATAAATTCATATTAAATGATGGAATTGTGTGAAATATGAAGAAGGGTATAATTGTGAAACTATAGTAATTTTTATTAATTAAAAATACTTTGGATTTAACTTAAAAATAAGAAATTTTTTGGACTCATTGTAATTGGGCGAGTGTAATGAGGGGGGTTTGTCTAATAACCCCATCTTTTATAGATAGGAGGTTTATTCGATGTTACACTCGATAAATATATTAGGTGATTAGTAACGGCTGATCTGCACATAATTACACATACATGCATGTGTATGTGTTTACAGTGAAAATTTATTTCACCAAATTAATGGTTAAGAATTACGCGGTGTATTTTAGCGGAGGTAACATCTCAATGACGTTTTGTAGAAGTAGAATGATACAATTCCACCTCTACCAACTCATCTCCAGGAAGAAATGGAAGTTAATTAAGGAAAATATATCAATAAACTGACTTTTATTAAGTCAGTTATTATATTTTAATTATTCCCTGTGTTTAGGAGTTTATCCATAAACTGACTTTTATTAAGTCAGTTATTAGATTTCAGTTATTCCTTATGTTTAGGAGATTAGTTTTGTGTTAGTTTAGTATAAATAGTTAGTATTTGTTCAGTTTTTAGGGAGGGGGAATTAGTAACTTGTATGAATTTCTGGAGTCTTGTCCTCTCCATACGGACAACTATATATGGTATATTATTGTGTTTAAGATTCTTGCACATAATCGGTCATCGTTATTTACTATTCTCTTGGATTGTTCTCGATTCCTATCAATGGTATCAGCCAGAACGATAGATATGGTTAATACTCGATCTTCCAATTCACAAAATGATCTGCCACCAACCCTTCCCAACCCACCAACCCACCAAATTTTAGATTCCACGGCCCTTCAACTTTCCGCCATTGCTGCAAAACTCAACTTGTTGGACTCACTTGCCGCTGAAGTTGGTGCACTGAAGGAACTTGCTGCATTGAAGGAACAATCGAGTGGATCTCCAATTGGGGAAACAAGCACGAGAGTTCGAAACAAAGAGAAGAACACTGATATTCCATTGGGACCGCGTGACAAAGGTCGATCAAATTGGTCGGAGGGTGATGACGATGATGCCGACAACCCTGGGCTGTTGCGAACTCCTTCACGACGATCACATACAAAAATGGACTTTCCAAAGTACGACGGTGGCAATCCTCGTGGGTGGATATTGAAAGCCGAAAAATATTTTCGATACTATCAAACACCGGAGGAACTCAAAGTCGATGTTGCAGCCATGTATCTTGAAGGTGATGCTCTTGATTTCTTTGCTTGGGTTAATCGCGAATGCATCTTGCTGTACTGGGATGATCTTGTTCGAGCTTTACAAGAAAATTACGGACCAGCCGAGTTTCAAAATCCTAATGAGTATCTCTGTAGCATTCAACAAGTTGGTTCAGTCACCGAATACCGCCAAGAATTTGCAAAGAGAGCGTCACGTGTCACAAATTGGCCTGATCATTGCTTATTAGGTGTGTTTTTAAATGGCTTGAGGGATGAACTAAAGGCTGATGTTCGAATTCACAAGCCTAGAACTGTTTATAAAGCTATGAGTTTGGCCCTTGAATTTGAATCCAAACTCACATCCAATGTAGACTTAAATCGTCTTCATAACAATCCCCATTTTCCTGCACCAAATAAAGCATACCCTCAGCCACATTCATTTAAACCTCCGTCGATGCCATCTAGACAAGCTCTGTCATGGGAAGAGCGACAGTTACGGATG